GCGGCGACGACGGGGAACGAGAGACTGTGGCGGGGAGGGGCGGGGGGAGGGACTCCGCAGAGCCGCGAGAGTCAGAAGACTCCTCGGCAGGGACACCAGACGAAAGAGGGGTAACGTGAGACACACCAGCCTGGGCAGGGAGGGGAGGGGGGGGAGCCTAGGCGACTGGGGGAGGGGGAACTAGGAATTGGGGGGGGGGGGGGGTAACCGGGGGACCACGGTGGGCAAAGCGGTCGTAAAAGGAGACTAACTCGTCAAAGGTGACGTCGCGGGAGTGAAAGAAGCGGTGAGACGGCAGGTGGTAGAAGTGCCAGTCGGACGAGTCGAGGGGGAAACCTAAGAAGATGCAGGGGTCGGTGCGGGCAGTGAGCTTGTCCATGCCACAAGCATGAACGTAAGCAAGGCAGCCCTAGACGTGGAACGCCAACGCATCACCACAGGACCTGGTCCAGAGGAGGGTCGGCGAAACCTACGGCCGCTGAGAGTGCGGCCGCTGTGGGTGTCGCCACAGGTTAAGCTGGTGAGCGTCGTAGCGAATGGCGAATGGCCACATAAAGTGGGGTGCACCGGCATGGATGATGGAGGTACGAGCCACCTCCGTGACCTAACCGATGCGACCCCATTCTGCTGCGGGGAGTCCGGAAGAGTGTACATCGGGGTGATGTCCTTCGCACGATAGAAACGACCAAGGCAACAAGAGGCGAACTCTCTACCGCGGTCAGAGTGAAGACGCAACACAGGGAGACCTCGGTGCACACGCGCAGAGACAAGCCACGGGATAAGAACGTCAGGCAAGTCAGCCTTCCGCTCCAGGGGAAACATAGTAGTGTAGTGGGTATAGTTCTCGACAAGCATCAGTAAGTAGCGCTCGCGACGCTGCCCATGGACGGGGGCGGGGCCCCAGACGTCCATGTGCAGGGTCTGCAGCGGTGCGGCGGTGGGGGGGAACGAGGAGGAGTGAGGGGCACGGTGGAGCCGGCCCTCGACGCAGGGCATGCACGGCGGCGCTGGTGAGGAGGGGAGCGAAGGCAATACAGGGTAATAGGAACTGGTCACACTAGAGTCATCGAGATACAGCACATACAAAGCAGGGCTAATCTTATCCATGTCTATATCAAAGATCCTAACACGACGGCGGAGCAGACTGTGCCAGTCGGGAAGGTCTGGCGACGGGCCGAAGCGGAGGCGAAACAGGTCGTCTAGGCGACTGAAGCAACGAGTGAGGGTATGGCTGATCTTACCGCACACGAGGCCGTGGCGAGGACCAGACTGGAGCTGGTACTGGCAGCGCCCGTCACTCTGACCACCACCCGACGTCATGCCACGCGCACGACCACTGCGACCACCGCCACTGCCTGCGCCTGTCCACCCGGGCGGGAGACCGCCGACCTGCCGCTGCTGCTGCAGCGGCTGCTGTTGCTGCTGTTGCTAGTCCAGCGGCAGCGCCTGCTGCTGCTGCTGCTGGGGCTCCTGCTCCGAGGCACCAGCCCCAGCCCCCTCGTCAATACTACCAGCGGGCGAGCCACCTCCACCACCGCCACCACCCCTTCCTCCGCTACCTCCGCCGCGCCCAGCCTTGGGGTGGCGACCCTTACCCGGACGAAACTGCGCTGCGGCGGCTGTCTCCGCAGCAGGAGCTGTCTCAGCGACAGCAGCACAACCGTCAGAGTAAGTGCACTGAGCAAGGGCACAGTCCTTAAAGATAGAGACCGGCATGGTACTGCTACACTGGGCGATAGAGAGCTAACGAGTCTCTATGGCAGGCAGGGTGTCGACAAAGTCAGTGAGGGTGAGGTCAGCGGGTTGGAGACTAAGGAAGTGATCGCGGATGGTGGCAAGACGGTGAGGGAGGCAGGTGGCAAGCAGGTAGAGGGTAGAGCCGATGGGGCACTGAAACACACGAAGCTGGGCCTCAGTGCAGGCAACGCGCCAGGTCGTGTCTAGCGTGCGCAGGTGGGCGCCAGATCAGCAATAGTAGGGAAAGATGCGAGATAAGGAAAGAGCACAGGCAGGATCAGACGACCGACGGAGGCCCTGGGGGCGGCGCAGGTAGACCTGCTCGTGTAGACAGCCCTGGAAGAATGCTGCGGAGAAGTCGAGGGAGTGCTGCTCGTAGTCACGCTATGCTGCTACGTGTAGCAGCGCCCGAATTGTGGTCATCTTCGGGGTTGGGGCGAAGGTCTGAAAGAAGTCCACCCCCTCACGCTGACTGAAGCCTCGAGCGACGTAGCGCGCCTTGAAGACATGCAGCTCTGCAGGAGGGCGCTTCACCTTGAAGAGCCACCGGCCATCGACTACGTTCACCCCAGAGGGGGGGAACTGCGTCGATGAAGGTACCGGTGGATCTCCAAGATGCCATCTCCTACTCCATGGCAGCTATCCACTAAGAGGCCCAGGGTCCCGAGGTGGCCTCAGCGTAGGTGCGAGGGGCCGGGATATCGAGGGTGTCTAGGTCACCCTCAAGGACTAGGAGTATGGAACAGAGATGGGGAGTGGCCTCAGACAGGAAAGCGAGCTCGAACTGCCAGTCCTCTAGGACGTCACTGCCAAGAGCAGCCACACCCCCGACGGTCAGAGGGCAGGCAGGGTCAGAGAGCAAAGTGGTGGCGTAGTCCAAGCGGCGGATAGCGACGAAGTCAGTGACAGCAGCGACAAGAGCCGACAGACTCGAGACAGGAACGGACGGGTCGGTAACGAGAGAGGCAAGGACACGAGGAACAAGGGGACGCGCAGCACGGAGGAATTTCGAGAACGGGGGCAGGGCCACAGCAAGCGACGATGGAGGAGAAGACTGGAGGAAAGGAGGAGCACGAGACGCGTGAGAGCGCAGCAACATAAGGTGAGAACACGGAACAGGGGAGGTAGGACGAGCACGAGACGAACGACGAGACCAGACGTGAGACGGAGGAGTCGGGTCGGGAGAGAGGGGAGAAGACAAAGGAGGAGAACGGGGAGGGAAACAAGCCAGAGAGGAGTCTGGGGGAGGAAATACAGCAACGGCAGAGGAGAAGGGAGACCGGCAGAGGAGGAGTTGGCAGCAGCGGGGGAGGCAGCAACGGGTGGAAAGGGGAAGGGAGACCGAGGATGCGAAGAGCGGACACCGGCGGTGGTAGCTGCGACTGCTGCCCGACTCCAACACCCGAACCTCTCCAGCGAAAACACGGCTCCCTCCGAGAAACCCCACGCTAGCACCCCCAGAGCCCGCTCCAGAACCAGCTCCAGCCCGCTCCCCAGCACCCCCAACGGCGCTGACGATAGCGGTTGCAGCGGCGGAGGCGGCTGCGGCGGGGACAGCAGCAACGGCGACAGGGGAGGCGAGACTGGGGCAGGGACAGGCGGGGGAAGAGACTCCGCCGAGCCGCGTGAGTCAGCAGACTCCTCAGCAGGGACAACCGACGGGAGGGGTGTGACGTGAGACACACCAGACGGGGCAGGGCGGGGAGGGGGGTGGACAGGGTCGACCGGGGGAGGGGGGGGCACGAGGAACTAAGGGGGAGTGACCAGGGGACCACGGTGGAAAAGCGGTGGTAGAAGGAGACGGACTCGTCAAAAGTGACGTCACGAGAGTGAAAGATCCGGTGAGAAGGCGGGTGGTAGAATTGCCAGTCCGACGAGTCGAGGGGGAAACCTAGGAAGACACGGGGGACAATGCGGGCATTGAGCTTGTCCGTGCAAGAGGCACGAACGTGTGCAAGGCAGCCCCAGACGTGCAACACAGACGCATCACCAGGGAACCCGGTCCAGAGGAGGGTTGGCGAAACCTGCGACCGCTGAGGGTGCAGCCAGAGGTTAAGTTTGTGAGCGGCGTAGCGAACGGCGAACGCCCACAGAAATGTGGGTGCACCGACATGGATCATGGAGGTACGAGCCACCTCCATGACCAAACCGATGCGTCGCTCAGCGATCTCATTCTGCTGCGGGGAGTCCGGCAGGGTGAACGTTTGGGTGACGCCCTTCGCACGACAGAAGCGACCAAGGCAGCCAGAGGCAAACTCGCCACCACGGTCGGAGTGGAGACGCAAGTAAAGGAGACCTCGGTGAACACGCGCAGAGACAAGCCACGGGAGAAAAACGTCAGGCACGTTGGCCTTCCGCTCCAGGGGAAAGACGGTGGTGTAGCGGGTGTAGTCGTCGACAAGCACTAGGAAGTAGCGCTCGCGACGCGGCCCATGGACAGGGGCGGGGCCCCAGACGTCCATGTGCAGGGTCTGCAGCGGTGCGCAGGTAGGGGGGAACGAGGAGGAGTGAGGGGCACGGCGGAGCCGGCCCTCGACACAAGGTGTGCACGGAGGCTCGGGTGAGGAGGGGAGCACAGGGAACGACTCAGGGAGGCCTAGAACAAGACGGTGTTGGGACATGTGACGGAGACGGGTGAGGGCAGGGTGACCGAGACGGTGGTGCTACAGAAGTGACGGGTGAGTAAGCGACCGACAGGAGCACGCCGCAGCAACCTGGGAAGACGCCGGTACCTGGGGAGGCGTCCCAACCGGGGGGACATGGTGTCCAGCGTGAACAGGCTAGACACCGGGTCCCGGGGGAACGTGGTGAGGGGGGCACCAGTGACGGCCTCAGTACAGACAGCGTACCGCTCATGCCCAGGGAACGTAGTGGTGACGCTAAGGTCCTGGAGGCAGCCGACACCAGCTAGGTTCCTAGAGAACAAGGGGATGTGCAGGCCTGTAAGGGAGCCTGAGGGAACCGCTGGACAGGGGAGAGTAGTGGAGCTATGTGCGACTACAGGATCGGAGGTAAGGTCTGCAAGAGCATTTGCAGCAGGAGCGGCAAGCGGCGTAAGGGTCGTGGAGTCGCGAAAGAAACACCGAGAAGCGCTGGAGTCAAGGGTGAGGGGGAGCGCTGCAGTGGCGACAGAGGTCGGAGGAGCGAGGGAGGACCCTAGGCTAAACAAGGCACGGGATCCTACATCTGACGCAGAAGGGGAGCCTGAACTAGGCACACTAGGCACACCTACGCTAGGCAATACAGGGTAATAGAAACTAGTCACACTAGAGTCATCAACAAACAACGCATACAAAGCAGAGCTAATCTCATCCATGTCCATATCAAAGATCTGAACACGACGACGGAGCAGACTGTGCTAGTCGGGGAGGTCAGGCGACGGGCCGAAGCGGAGACGAAACAGGTCGTCAGCTTTCCCATTGGTGGCCATGACACCATCAGCCGATCCACTTCAAGCTGTGACCCTGGTTCTGCATTCTTTAGAATTCTTAAAAAATCTCACTGAGGACATCACGCCTCGCATTCCCACTGTTGCCCATGACATCATCAACATTTGCTTCTGAGATGACATCATCACCCCATCCAATTAAATCCATGACCCTGGTTCAGCATGTGGGCAGAGCTGCTTGCAGGTTTGGCGGGGGGGGCGGTCTTTACACAGGTTTTCACAATAAACATCGCATCTACTGTCGTGGCCGCATAGCCCTTCGTGCACGTGCAGTTGTAAGTGCCAACCAAGTTGGTGCAGGTGGAGAAAAGCACGTCCACGCAGGGAGATGGCTTCACCTTGCACTCGTCCACATCTGTTGGCAGAAGTAGCGGGCACAATACAACGAACATTGCACGTTAGGGAGGATCAAGGAGAGGGTAGAAAAAGGGGGGTGGGAAAATGGAGATGCGTAGCAGGCGGTGGAGAAGAAAGCGACTTCGAGTAACGATAGAAGGAAGGCAAGGGAAGCCTTGCAAGGCAAGCGTATACTCACTACCGTCTCCTCCCCTCGGACTCTCCCCTGCACCACACCCCTTCCCCGCACTCACCTTCACACTCGTCGGTTTCCGTGTCAAGCTCAAAGCCAGAGGCGCAGCCACACTTGGACTGAGTGGGCACGAGGTTGAAATCCGTGATGCACTCGCCATGCGCCTTGAGCTGGCAGTACTTGGCAAACGCACTGTCCTCCGCTGTTGTGTCGCTCGTCGGCTTGGCACACGCGTCCAGCACTGCGGGGGAAACCGAAAGGGGGGGAGACGGGTGGGAGCAGAGGGGGAGACGGGTGGGAGCAGAGTGGGAGACGGGTGGAGACAGGTGGTGAGTCACGAGAGAGGGCAGCGGTGATGGATGGGGGAGCGAAGGAACGTCAGCGGAAGGGGAACGGAAAGAAGAGAAGGAAGAAGCAGGAAAGGGAGAGAGAGCGTGATAGGGGCGTGTGTTCAGGCGTATGTAGAGCAGAGGGGCCGACTGGAGGTGCGGTGGGTGGGTGGGTGGGTGGGTGGATGCATCATGCACCCACCTGAAGTGCACTTGGTGTTGGGGTCGTAGCTGGGCAGGCAGTTCTCGCACAGAGTGCTGGATGTGGTAGGCGTGCACTTTTGAGTCGACTCAAGAGCCACCTCTCCCACCTGAAGTGCACTTGGTGTTGGGGTCGTAGTTGGGCAGGCAGTTCTCGCACAGAGTGCCGGTTGTGGTAGGCGAGCACGCACAGGTGCCGTTGCCATCCGCCCCGTCGTTACACTTCCCGAAGTTGGCACAAACTGCAGGGAATCCGGGGAGAATGTGCGGGTTGAAAGGGTAGTCGGGATGATGGCATGGGGGCCGATTAATGGAGCACCACTGTGAGAGTGGGATTTTGTCACTGTTGAGGTGCGGCGAAATGGTTGGGGAAAAAAAAAACGGAAACGAATGATCGGAAGAATAATACCGTGAGTGAAGAAAGAAACGCGATGCGGCAGAAATGCAAGAGTGCGTTCTTAACAAGAATGCGCACACAAGGAGTGAAAAGGAGATGTGGATAGATATTTTGAAATGAGGTTCACATAACATTAGACCATTCAGTTACCAGGACAAGCGCGGCACTCTGTGCCGAATAATCCAGACCCGACGGCACATTCTGCTCAGGACAAAGGAGAGGAAAGTGAGGCCGAGAAACTCATTCCGTACCCAGACTTCAAGTGAGCTGCTTCTGGAATGAGTTGAAAAAAAAAAAAACCAAGTCACTCCTTGCAAAAATAAAAACGAGGGTTAGTACTTTCCACAGAGAGGGACAAAGAGGAGAAAGGAGCAGGGAAAGGGAGAGAGAGCGTGATAGGGGCGTGTGTTCAGGCGTATGTAGATCGGCGGAGCGGACTGGAGCTGCTAGCAGGAGGACAAGGACCGCAGAGGAAACTCCACAGCTCGGTTAGACAGAACTGCAGAGGAACGCCGCCGGCGGCGTCAGGGTGGGTGGGTGGGTGGGTGGGTGCATGATACACCCACCTGTAGTGCAATTGGTGTTGGGGTTGTATCTGGGCGCGCAGACTTCGCACAGATCGCCGGTTGTGGTAGGCGGGCACGCGCATGTGCCGTTGCCGTCTGGCCCGTCGAAACACGTCCCCGCATTGGCGCAGGCTGCACGGAATCCGGGGAGATTGTTAGGGTTGGGGTAAATTTCACGAATCGTGATGATCATGCAGTGAGCACCACTGCTGACTGTGACGGTTCTGCGACCAAGATTGGGGCTTTTTGTCGTCGCTGACGGTGCTGCAAAATGGCCCGAAAATGAACGGAAAGGTGAAACGGGCTGGTTGTGGGAAAACCAACACTAAAACTAGAGCGCAAGTGGGAACAACAAAGAACGCGACACGGCAGAAATGCGGAGGGGTATTCTTAACAAGAATGCGGACACGAGGAGTGAAAAAGAGATGAAGAAATTCCAAAATAGAGGCGCTTAGTTCACCGGGACAAGCGAGGCAGTCTGCACCGTACTTTCCGGATCCGACGGCACATTCTGCTCAGGAAAAAGGAGAGGAAGGGGAGGCCGAGGAAAGGAGGCCGAGAAACTTATTCCGTACCCGGAACTCAAGTGAGTTACTTCTTGGATGTGATAAAAAAAGCAAGTCGGAAGACGTCTCGCAGAAATAAAGAGTAAGGGTTTCGCATCCTTCCCCAGAGAAATGTCGGCGGAACGTGCCTAAACCACGCCTGCACCTTACCTGCAGAAACCATTCTCGTGATAAGAAGGCAAGTAATGGCGACGCAGAAGACGCGCAGGAGTGGGGCCAATGACGCCATGGTTGAAGGATGGAGGACAAGAGTGAAAATTTGCGAGGGAGTAGGTGCAATATTTGTGCAAGCAAGCAGAAGCGGCGGGGGAAGCAGAGATGTGTTCCAAGCAGGGCTCAGGAAGTCAGGAGGGTTTACCCTGTCTAGCCTGTTTTCAGAGTGACTTTTAGAGGTCACACTGCACGAGAAGGGTTGGGCCTGGTAACACCCTGTTGGATGCAGGCAAGGCAAGTAATACACCAGGCGGACTCAGACTTTCGTGTCCCGAACATCCTGTGCTTTCCGAAGTTGCTAGCAAATTTTCAATTCATTTTGGCTAAATTCGTTCAGTCAATTGGAACGTCATTACCTTAGGCACTTAGAGTCAGAATTGCGTTTTTCAGAGTCAAGCACAGGGAGATCTCGATTTGCCAAGTGGCCGTTTACGAGCGGTATCATTATACCCTGCAATTAATGACAAGGAGCCGAACCTCCCCTTGCAACGGCAAGGTGAACCTCCGACCCCGCTCGGATCTGGCTGGGTGCCCCATAAGACATCGAGAGCCCTGGTTCCAAGTTCCATTCCAACCTGTAGCTGAAAGTGGTGCGTATTTGCACGGGGAACACTTGAACACGACTGAAGTGGAGCTTGCCCAGTGGGAGGACGGTTCCTTGTTCCAACCGGGCAAAAAACAGGACTTCTGTCTTGGGACGGAGTGAACAAAGTGAGGCGTGTTCTAGGCTCTGGGCAAGCCCCGAGGAAAACTTTCAGGCATCCGCTCTACGGGGGAGATCGCCTGAGCTCCAACTTTGATTCATCGTGTCCGTATAATTGATGCCCCAAAGTTCTGCCTCGGGGCTTACCCCGACACCAGAACGCGCCTTGAAAGCAACCTTGGGCAGGAATGCTTGTTGCTTGCACCAGGCCACTATTTTCGTTTTGGGCCACCCTGCCCGATCAGGGTTCCCTCCCCCCTTTGCCGCCACCCGGCATGGGGAAGCCAACCCATTGTTTGGCAGGGAGCAAGCCTGATCGCAGTGTATTTTTCCCGAGCTGTGTTCAAAATCGGTATCAATCACTCTGCCAGAATTCAGAGATGCAAGGAGGGTGTGGGAGGGACGTGTTAGGCCATCGAAATTCTTGTCGTGGCTTTCTGTTGCAGATCGGTCTGGACTGGTAAATTCGGGGTTTTATACGAGACCATACGGTCCAGTGCGATAACTCTTCCAAAGTCGCAACTCAGGGTTCGCACAGAGAACCTCGTCGAAATTTCCGGGTTGCGAGGGTGTGGGAGGAACTTAGTTGGAGGGGAGAGGGGAGGAATGACTACGGCTGTGAAATTACGCGTCTGAAGGGAATACATGGAATGCTGATGAAGGCGCCACTGCAGGGTCAGAATCCCGGAAGACAGTCAGAGCCGAGAACAAAAAACCGCAAGTCTGGTTTTCACTGGGCAAGAATTGAGAAAACCCGTTGATTTGAAGGGAGCGTTACAAGATGTACCCTAAACAGCTGGAGTATGCGGAAACTATCCTGCGAAGTAGAGGCCTGGCTTGCACAGGAAAACAAGGTGGCGAAAACCCTTCGGCTTCGGCAAGAGAAGCAGTTGGTCGTTCCTGATTGGCCAAGCGCGAACTGGCCTGCAAGATACTTCACGGCGCCACCTACGAGGGAAAATGTGTACAAACGATCCCCAACCTTATCGCAGCCCAACCCAGCGCCCAACCAGAATCGTTCTCCAAAACCTCCGATATACGGGCATTGTGAGATCCGTTTGAGTCACTCTGCGACTTGTCATAATGGACAAGTCATTTCCCACGTGGTTTTGTCGCCACGGAACTGTGCGCCGCAGTCGCCTGATTGCCTCACGAGAGTCACACACTGGCAACAAACATCTCCACCCAAGCCCCCCCCCCCACCCCACAAACACCGAACCTCACCGCCGTGTGCCCGTGCGACACCCTCATTTGCCCGTGGCGAGGGCATGCGAAATTTCTGTGCGATTGAATCCCCGCCACCCTCAAACCTTGTACGACTCTTACGAGCTTTGTTTGCACTGTTCGTCGTGCGTCCAACCACAATCGGGTTCGACACAGATTCTTTTTGGATCATGACGCCAATAAGTTCCAGCAATTCGCGTGATGGAAACAATATCGCATGCCAGCAGCGCCATGTAATTTTCACACATCACAACATGGAGTTTATTTTTTTCAATAATATGCACGAATAGCCCACATCTAACTGCCAATTCTGAATTTATTGTCAAACCATACTTCCTCAATAGACGTCGAATCTTACACCCCCGAAATTTAATTTTGGAAACTGAATAGTATCAAGCTGAGAAAATGATTCGGGTTTCACATTCAAGAACAAACTACCTCTACCGTGATCACCCGGATATAGGCGCAGCCATTTATCAAGCCCAGTGGGCTTACAGAGTGCAAACACGCTTATATATGTTATTTTATTATAAGCACACCTTTTTTAGAAAATATATTCCCTATAAGCGCATTGAATTTCTATTCAAAAACATGTGAATTACGAAATTTCCATATCGAAACTCTGCGCCAAATCTCCCACGGCACTCTCGCACTCCTCCCAAGCACCTCGCCAGCCAGATTCCTGTGATTCTCGCACTGTCTTGCCTATGATTGTGTTAAAATTATATAAGCTATAATTTAATATAGGCTTGGTAGGTTGTTACTGAACCTTTCTGTAGAGGGTACAATCCCCTCCTTGTACTGCTCTCTCTTCCTAATCCCATCCCTTCTTTCTCGTCAACTTTTCTCCTCACGCTCCTAGATCTACTTTCCTCACGGCATTCCATGGCGGCCTTCCTAGTATCCTAGCTAAGCTAGTGTCCTAACTTTAGGGACCTAGCCTCCTAAGTTTCTGAGATGGTATCAGATCAGGAGGTCCTCCTGCTGGACCGCCTACTCACGCTTCTCGCGCTGCCATGGCGCCCGTGTCGTGCCGCGGCCGTCACGACGCGCTGCTGTGGCGTCGCGCTGTCGTGCCGTCGCTTCCGCCGCGCATTTCTCTCGTCACTGCCTTCTCGCCGTGGCGGCCATGCCGGCATGTCATGGCCGCTTCGTCGTGCGGCCGTCGCCTCCTCGACGCCCTGCCGTGGTGGCGTCGACGCTTTGCCGTGGCAACGTCACCTTGCTGCCGTTGCAGCGTCGGCGTGCCGCCACAGCGTCGACGCCGCGCTCTGGCGGCGTCGTCATGCTGCCGTGGCAGCGTCGATGGGCGGCAGCGGGCAGCACGCCGTCGTAACCACCACATGCCCGCCCTCCTGCCAGTAAGCGCCGCGCCACTTATGGCGCGTCGCTGAAGACTCGCCTCGCCCCCCCCCCCCCCCCCCCCACCTCCCCCTCCTTCCCCTGCATTCCCCCCTTCCTTGCTGCAGCCGACGACTGCCTCATGAGGGCCCTCTCCACCGCCGAGGAGACCGGACATGCCGCCGAGAGGGTGGGGGCCGCTGCACCGGCCTCTGACGTTCAAGCTGTTCAAATTATATAAGTTATAATTTAATATAGGCTTGGTAGGTTGTTATTGAACCTTTCTGTAGGGGGTACAAACCCCTCCTTGTACTCCCCTCTCTTCCTAATCCAATCTCTCTTCTCTCTCGACACTCTCCTCCAGCTCCTAGCTAAACCCCGCCGCCACATTCATGGCGGCCTTGTTCCTGCCTAGTATCCTAGCCTAGAGCTACTTTAACATGGTATCAGAGCCGGCCGTTTCCAGTCCTGCCTTCCAAGCTTCCGCCTCGTCCTTGTCTTACGTTTCACTTCGTACCGTGCCGCTGATGGCGGCCTTTCGTTTTCCTGCCGCCGTGGCGGCCTTGCCTTTCCGTGCCGCCGTGGCGACTTCTCTGAGATGCCGCGGCGGCTTAGTCGAGCCACAGTCGCACCTCCGCCTCGCCGCCGCGGCATCGACGTCGCGCTGTAGCGGCGTCTTTTGGCTGCCGTGGCGGCGTCATCGGGCGACAGCCGGCCGCGCATCCGTCGTTTGGCTGCCGTGGCGGCGTCATCGGGCGACAGCCGGCCGCGCATCGTCAATGGTGCCGCCGGACCACCGGACTCGTCAGGATCGGCCTCCTGCAGCTGCCGCACGACCAAGGGATGTACCGACTGCAGAAGGGGGGCGACTTTGTCCTACTCATCATCTATGTCGATGACCTGCTCTATGTTGGCTCCACTACCGACATCGTCACCTGGTTCGAAGGGGAGCTGAAGAGTGATTTAACACTTACGGTGTCAGACACCATCACCTAGTACCTAGGCCTGAACATCGTCAAAGACGATTCGGCGTTCTACCTACACGCCGAAAAGTACGCAGGTGTCGTCGCGAAGAAATTCGGACTAACACCGGTCGCAGTCGCGACTCCCTACCGCTACGGGAACGACAACAGCGACACCTCCGCAAAGCTCCCCACTAAGCAGATTCAGGAATACCAACAAAAGCTCGGTTGTCTCCTGTTCACACCCCCTGGTCTAGGAAGGGGCAGACTCAAGCAGCAAAACAAACACAGCAAACCAGGGCAGCACTACTAGTCTGATCACGGAGACGAGGGCCCAAAAACCAGTCAGCAAGAGTAACAAGACAAGTACATGTAGCTCAGCATATGCAGATCAGGACACAAGCAAGTATGAGGCAACTGAGACTAGGCTTAGCTGAGTACAATACTGGTGATGATTACGAGGCCCAAGAGCCTTGGTAGTGTTATCAGCAGTATTGGCCTCTGAAGCCAACTGTACTACGCGGACCTGGCTGCGCTGCTGCAACTTACGCAGTAGAAAGTACCGCAACTGGATGTGCTTGGCCTTGCCTTCAAGCCGAGCCTCTTGACACTGGAGGATCATGGACGTGTTATCAGTAAACAGGACTAGGGCAGACCTATGCCGCTCACCTAAATCAGTAAGCACGAATGTCAGACAGCAGAGCTTTCTGAGCGGCAAGAGCGCGAGCGTATATCTCTGCCTCACAACTGAACCGTGCTACAGATGACGAACGAGTGGACCGCCACGAGACAGCAAATG